TGGAGGGGTAATTTAGAAATAATACAATGTTCTAAGTGTTCAGATTTTTTCGAACATTACGAAAACATCTTCACACTTGGTGGGGTAATAATACATAATTAAAAAAAATTGAGACATTCATAGCACAAGTGTCGCGCGCAACTGGAATAGTTGTGCGCGGATGTCGTGCGCAACTGCAATAGCTGCGTGCGGATGTCGTGCGCAACAAATTTCATTGCGCGCGACAGGCCCGCGCAACTACAGATGTTGCGCGCGCCACCTAATGACGAACTGCGAACCCAAATTTTTACGTTTGAACGAAGTTGCGAGTTCTACTTGCGGCAAAAAGAGGGAATTTCTTAAATATAACATATACTCGGAAAATAAAATTAAACTTTGATTTAATTCTCTTTAAACAATGTTTGATTTATTTTCATTTAATTTCTACCTAAGAGATTAAAGAAAAATAAAAACTACACAAGAAAAAAAAAACATTAGAACTACGCAAAGACCTGATTTCATAATGCGAATACGTAGGCAATCTTTATTATTCGGTTATATCAAAATATAAATATATAAATCTCATTTTATTTCATTCAAATTTCAAAGAATAGAGAGACATTGTTCAACTAGATTGTAAACGAAAAAAAAAACATAGTAGTGATTACACTTTATTCAATTTAAAACTAATAGCGAAACTTTGTAACACTCTAAGGTTTTACTATGTCCTCAATTGTCAAGGACGATAGAGGAGTAGTTTCCATCGCAGTATTTTCAGAAACCTTAGAGCTTTCTCCTACGCTCTTCTTCTTAACCCATACATTGTTCTTCAGTTTGGGAATTGTGGTCTTTTCTACCTTTTTTTCCTTTTTCCAAAGCTTTCGTTAGAGTCCTTTTTTGAGTTTGTTGCGAAGGTTCCTTGATTATCACACCTTGTTGTACGGATTTGGAGTGAGCTTTCCTTTTTGTTTCCTTTGAACGCGCCTTAGGAGATGAGAAGTTTAATTTTCTTCTCACTCCTTTGTTTTGGCCACTAGGAGGAGTAGATATGGTCGAATGCACCAAAGGTTTAGGTGGATTGCGAGTCGTGGCGGTTGATATTGAGATCGAGCCTTGTTTAATTTTCCCTTATCCGCCGCATTCATCCAAGCTTTGTAAAAGGAAGATAATGCAATACTTCCATTAGGATTTTGTACTACCCATCTAGGAAGACTTGACCAATACTCCGTCCAATGAAAAACTCGCTCGGGTTTAAAAGTCACATTCTTTAGGGGAATCACAATCTTGCTAGAGAATAATCTGTTTCATCCTGTATTGTCTCATTACCCTGCAAGGAAAAATATATGTAGTATTAGATAGGCCTAAAAGCCTAATGTAAGGGAAATGATCTGTGCCATTTATGGCACCTTTAGGCTATGTTTTCTTTATATTTCTATGCTCGTTTTTAGTTGTTTATGTCGTATTTTTTTACATAATAATGCTCGATTTGCGTGTTTTTGTGTTAGTTTAGAGAATGCATGCTTTTAATGGTTTTCTTATCATTTTGTTCATTTCTCGGCTATTTCTCTTGCTTCTCCGTTCTTTGTCTTGTTTTGTAGGTATGTCGAGTTTCCGCAGATTTAATAATCAAGGAAGGAGCTCAAGTGCATTCAAGGAATTTAACGGAGCCAAGTTAGGGAAGCCAAGCACACAAGTTAAGCTAATCCAAGAAACAACAGAAAATGAAGGCTTGCAAAGTATCAAAAAGGACCTTTGTGCACTGTTTCAGCCATATCTCGCGTTCTACAGATCGGATTGGGATGATCTTTCTAATTTAGCGGGCGCGGGCTACAGTACCCGCGGGTGCGGGGCTGCTGCAACCTACTTTTGCCCATTTTTGACAAGATACTTTGAGAGGGCTGGCCGCGGGCACCTCGCGGGCACGGCCAATTTCTCCGCGGGCGCAAATTTATGGGTTTTACTCGCGATTTCTTTTATTTCCCCCTTTTGTATATATAGTGTATGGCCTTCTTTATTCTACATACATGAAATATTTTAGATTAGGATAGTCACTTTCTATAATTAGGTTATATTAGTAGGTTCTCTCTCAAGATTAGGCGTGGTTTTAGAGAGAAAAAGTGAAGGATTTCAATGGTGATTGAGAGATGGAAGATACAAGTGTGGCAGTTGTGTTCAAGATCTTCTTTATTATCAATGAGCATTCTTAACTCTATCTCACCTTATTGCTTTGTTTAATTTCATGTTTGTTTGATTTAATTTTGATGTTTGATGCTTGATTAGTTTAATTTTTCTTGATATATTGTTGATTCTTGATTCCTTTAGTTGATTGTTGATTAGATGATGATGTTAGAGTAGTTGTTGGCTAGGTATTGGGAGAAACTTGTATGATTGATTAATTGTGATTAATTTGGGAATTGTGTTTATTTATTGTTGAGACTAAAGTGATTAATGAATGTTTGCATGTGTGTAATTCGATTAAGCCTTGAGAATTATGCTAGATTGCATTGTAATTTCTAATGACACGAACAATGGATTTAGGAATTGCAATTATCGATTAGTTTTGATTGTGATTCTCTTAGTTTGTTATTCATAGTGAATCCTAGCTTAACAATTAGGAGATAGCTCTTTGATTCCAATTGATTATTCTTATCATTAGTCCTCACAACCTTTAATTGGCATGATCTTCCCAAGTTGTTGCAATTGACATGATTACTCTTTGATCCCCGTTCCTAGTGTTTTATTTCCTTGGTTACTTGTTTTGTTAGTTGTTAATATCCTCTCTTTACCTTCGACTTCGACCTAGCTTAGGCGCATAATTGAAAGTGCTTGACCATTACCGTTCCTTTGGGTTCGACCCTTTACTTTTCTCTATATTCGTATTTAGGTTTGTTAAGTGTTTATAAATTTAGTTTGATCGAGGGAAGATTAGATAACGACCTAGTTTTCCACTCGTCAAAATGGCACCATTGCCAGGGAGTGACATTGGTGCTTTGCTTTAGCTGTTGAGTCTACATCACTTTAATTGAAAAGTACAAAAAGTTTTTTTTTTCTTTAGGCTACATTTGTAGCCGTGTTACTAATATTTTCATTGCGTTTTGCATGCATAGAGCTCGTGATCGATCTATTGTGACTTTTGACCCAGAAATCGAAAGGACACTCTCAAGGAGAAGAATTGCTAATCGATACTTGGAGTTTAGTTCCTCAAGCAAAGAAGGATTTGAAGAAGAAGAACTAGGTATGGGAGAATACCCGAGAGTTGCTTTGAAAGAGTTGGGAATTCCCGGTGCGTATAAGTTTGAGAGCGGCATATCTCCACCTACAACACCGGCGAATGATTTCGAAATTAGGCCGGCTATGATTACCTCGATCGAGAGGAGGCAATATAGCAGAGCTAAGAATGAGAGTCTGTTGAATCATCTTAAAGAGTTCGAGAAGTATTGCAATACTATCAAAGTAAACGGAGTTTCTCGATAAATCATCCGGCTAAAGTTGTTTCCCTTTTCTCTCATAGGCCAGGCCTTGGAGTTGTTGGACAAGGAGGTAAAGCCAAACTCCCTAAGAACATGGGACGAAGTCACCAAGGAATTCTTGTTTAGAGCTTTGATTCAAGGTTTCAAACAAAAGCCAAGTGAGAGCCTCTATGAAACATGGGAGAGGTACAAGGAGTATCAAAGGGAGTGTCCTCACAACGGGATTTCAACCTATAAAATCATTCAAATTTTCTATTGAGGCCTAAGTCCTCAAGGCAAGTCATGCCTAGATGGAGGAGCCGGTGGTCCGATCATGAATAGGACGGAAGAAGAAGTGATGGACATCATTGAGGATGTTGTGAAGTATTATAGAGATTGGCAACATGGTTAGAGAGAATCAACTAGCAAGAGTAGCTCTGCGGTGTACGCAGTTGATTATTTGAATGCAATTAACAATCTCTCTTCACAAATTGCAAACTTGGGGAAGGAAGTAAGTGCAATCAAGGAAAAATTGGAGAGTTCTTCTTCCCAAGCTCCAAGTCTTCCCTCCCAATTTAAGGGGAGAGGTACTCCTTCTAACTCTCATCCCCCATCTTCTCCTAGTAAAATGCCTAGTGGTTGTTTGTTTTGTGATGTGTGTAGTTCATATGATCATGATTTTAGTAATTGCCCTCATGCTTTCCAGAAAGTAATAGAGATTTTGACAAAAATGAGAGTGAACATGTGAACTATGTGTCAAATAATAATAATGTGCAAAAGTTTGATAACCAAAGGGGTTAATGGAATAGGAATTACCAAAACCAAGATAATTTTGACAACTATAACCAAGGTGGTGGTTATAGGAACCAAGGTTCTCGTGGTAACAATAACAATCAAGGTTATAGTAGCCAAAATCAAAACCAAAATTATGGTAATCAAAACCAAAGTTACGGAAATCATAACCAAGGTAGTGGTAGCCATAATCAAGGTTATGGTCAAAATCAAAATAGGGGTGATTGGAACAATCAAGGTAGGGGCAATTTTCAAAGTAATGCTCAAAGGGGTCCCCCACCCAGATTTGTTCCAAAGACTCAAGGTGAAAATTCCTTTTCACAACCTTCTTCTTCTAGGACTAATTTGGAGGAAATAATTGAAAATCAAACCAAGTTGTTGAACACATACAAGGCTGATAGTGACAAGAAATTCAATGAAGTAATGACTCATATTAAAATGCTTGAAAACCAAATTTCTCAACTTGCTAATGCTTTGAAAGACCATGATGGTCCTTTTTCTCTACCTTACCAAGGCTTAAATCCAAAAAGACCCGTGAATTCTATTGCTACAAGGAGTGGTAAGGTTCTTGAGGAGAATTTGCCTAGGAAGAGTGGTACTAAGGAGGGTCCTAGGGAGGTCTTAGTTGAGGATGAGAGAAATGGTGCATCTTTGAGTGAGGTTGTGATTGAGACACCTAGAGAGGTAAGAGTGGAGAACGAGATTGTGAAACACAAGCTTCCATATCCACAAAAATTCGTGAGACATAAGTTGGATGAATAATTTGGAAGATTTATAAACATGCTTAAGAAACTTCATCTTTCTCTACCTTTTACCGAAGTTGTTACCCAAATGCCCAACTATGCAAAATTCCTCAAAGAAATTTTGAGTTGTAGGAGGTCTTGTGATGTGGTGGAGATGGTCAACTTGACCAAGAATTGTAGTGCAATCATAATGCACAAGATGCAGCCCAAGTTGAAAGATCCTGAAAACTTCTCTATCCCTTGTGTCATTAACAAGATGCAAATTGATAATGTCTTATGTGACTTAGGAGCTAGTGTTATCTTAATTCCATATTCGGTTTATCAAAGACTTGAGTTAGGAGAACTTATGCCTTCTAAGATTACCTTGACATTGGCCGATAGGTCAATTAAGTTCCCCAAGGGGAAGGTTGAGGATGTTCCATTGAGAGTAGGGAAGTTTGTTATTCTGGTAGATTTTGTGGTGCTTGAAATGAATGAAGAATAAACCATTCCCATTATTTTTGGTAGACCTTTTCTTGCTACCTCGGGTGCTATGATTGATGTTATGAGTGCAAAGATTTCACTCAAGGTAGGAGAAGAGGTTATTGAATTTGATTTGAATGAAAGCATGAAATATCCATGCTCATATTTAGAAAATTGCATGTTGATCGATTCTCTTGATCTTTTTGTATCTTCCATGCATGAGCATTCGCTCACTTCTAACGATCCTCTTGAAAATGTCTTGTTGAATAAGGATAAGATAGGTGCTCCTATCAAGGAAGTGAAAATGTATGCGGATTTTCTTAATGGATGCATTAAGGAATTGGATGAGCAGTCAATGGTTGAGGTCAAACTTGTTGCATCACACTTTAGCATCAAGGGATCAAGTTGGAGCGGTCCCAATTCGGTTAAGAGTGGTTTTCCAAATGTTTTTGTGGAAGTCTCAATAAAAGATTTTCTTTCTCCGTTAAAGGCCAAAGGCAACCGTCTAATGAAGTATTTCGACGATGCTCTTGTTGGTTTGGTGGACTCATTGTTTCTCTGCCAACAACCTTAATTGGTGGAGGACGTCGAGCTAACGATGTTAACCAAAAGCGCTACTCGGGAGGCAACCCGGTTTTCTAACCTTTTTCTTTAATATATTATTTTTCTTTATTTCCTCCTTTGTTAACTTTTCTTATTTCTTTCTATTTTGGTTTGTTCTTTTGATATTAGGTGCCATGGGATTTGAATCGGATAAAATTTCCAACAATTTTGGTGCTACTTCAATGCAAACCTTACGAAGTCTTGAAGTTATATGTTCTCGTGTTTGGATTCTTTCTTATAAAATTTTTGAGTCCTTGATCATGACATTTGATAGGGACGGTGAGAATGCAAACAAGAAAGCATTTTTAAGGGGTATTTCTTATTGTAAGCGCCATACCGAGATGTGGGGGGTGCGCACACACAAAGCTGTGCACGCGCGTATCTCGAAGACCCCGCGGGCACGGGTATTTTCCCGCGGGCGCGAATACTTGTGCACCAAAGATGCCATAATTCGACCAGGAACTTCTCGCGGGCTTGCTTCATGCTATTCGCGGGCGCAAGCACTTACCCACGGGCGCGACATTATCGGGAGAGGGCGCGGCACCTGCTGACAGCCCCTATAACCCCTAACGCACCTTCTCTTTCATTTCTTTCATTTTTCCCTCCTAAAACCCTAGACCCTCTCTTTCAATACCAAGCCTACTTCACCTCTTTTGCTATCATTTCAACATTAATTTTAATTTCCAAAATAAAGTTTTTCAAATCTTAAACACAAAATAAATTTTTCAGAATTCTTTCCTCAACTCAAGCAAGAAATAAAATTGGATCTTTTTCAAAAATTTTAAATTTTGTGTTGAGGTTAGGAGTTTGTTTTTGGGAATCTTATTTGTTCTTACATCTCCATTTTGAGCACTTTTCAAGCATTTCAAGGCTTCATTAAGGTATGGTTTCTTATTGTCTATTCATCATATTCCTTTTTTATTTAAAGCTTGAACCTTTATGCTTTCATGGTGAAATTCTATGGTTAGTACTTTTCAATTGGTATTTATGTTGAATGATATCGTTGGATGTTGAATTGAATTTTCCTTATCATAAATGTATAAACTTTGATTGAATCCTTGAATAATAATTGTTGGCTATTTTCTCTCTCATGGGTTTTTCTTTATATAAGTTTCTTACCTTTGATAATTCAATGATTGGGATTTATTTTTCCAATTGACTCATGAATTGGTTTCTTATGTTCAATTTTGCTTTCAATCCATGATTGTTTGCTTAATATTCATGATTTTATCAATGGCATTGTTCATTTGTTACCATTTCTTGCTTCTATTGTGAAATATTTCCATTTTGTGCTTGTTGTTGAACAACTACTTATGCTTAGTCTTGATACTTTGTCGATGGCCACACTTCTTCATAAGAAGCGTGGTAGAGCTAGTTCAAGCAAGCCGAGGTATATTGTTCCGCCTCCACCGGAGGTTTTGGAAACTTATGGAATTGAGTTTTCCAAGGAATCTCATTGGGAGTGCTTCAAACGTCTTTCAAAGAGAAAGCTTAGGCCAACGCGTTTCTATGATCAAACGACAACAAAGTTTCTAGTGATTGACGAGGATGTTCGCCTCCTTGCGGAAGGCCTTGATCTTTTGGATTTCTTGGATTTAAATTCCCCTACCTATGATAGGGTGACTTATGAATTCCTTTCTTCTCTCGAGGTTGCTCATGAACCGGGTGCAAATTACTCAAAGATTTTGACTTTCCAACTCTTCATCGATGATCACTCTTTGACGGATGATCAACTATGTTCATACTTCAAGTTTCCTTAGGCCGAGGATCCGGATCATTGTATTTCTCCGGCTCAAGGTAGAATGGCAAGTGATCATGGATATGATGAGCAACGTTGGCGGAGGAGTATCTCGGATGAAGGAAAGTATGATCCTCAAACGTCAAAGTCCGCTTCCATGATTCATCCGGCTATGCGATATTTCAACCGAATCCTCACCTACGCCCTTTGCTCCAAGGACTCTTTGGGAGCTATTTCCCGTGAGGAGCTTTGTTTGTTGTGGAAAGGCGGCCAAAATCACTTTGAGATTGAGTAGGTGGATTTCACGGAGCATTTGATCTCTCGATTCTTGGATATTCGTGATGGAGTTTGCCTTTCAAGATGCATCCAATTGGGTGGGTGTAGGGAATATTTCAAGCATTATCCCTAGCTTGAACCCCACTGTGATCATACACTAAAGTACGGTGGCGTCCAAAGGGAAGGAAGCTAGAGCAAAAGAGTCGCAAACAAGTTTAAGGAACTTGTAAACCGTTCACGAGGTGAAGGTTACACCCCTTAACGATCCAAGAGATCTTCAACTCCAATAGGTCTGGAACCATGACTGGTAGTTCGGGGATGAAGGTTCAAATCCAACCTAAAAGAGATTGAACCTGCCCTAATAATAGGCCTCTACTTTATTCTGATTGTATTCATGTGCGCTTTCTAACTAACATGCAATCAATAGGTTTACCCTAAACCTGTTTAATATATGTTGGTTGAATATTAATGCACTAACAAAACTATTATTGGCGATCACTTGAATTACAATCATATTAACCCTAAACAAGATTATCAGTTATCTTATTAAGCGTGATTACAAGTACCAATTCCCTTTAAACATGCATAAAGGCGTGACCAAACAATAACAATAATAAATATCAAGCAACATAATAATTATAAACATAATCATAATAATAAAAATAATCATAATTAAAATAATCATGTTAAAGCATAATAATAGCAAGATCCTAGGCATGATACTAACAAGATTAATAACAAACCCTAGCATGTCACTAAGAAATAAAGATCAACGCTTAAGCCCTAACATGATACTAACAATCATATATATTAGGAAGAACTAACAGAAAAGGCATCATAATTTTAATCATACTTGGTATTAAAGTTACCCTAGAAATGATACTAGGAATTTATTGTTGTCACCGTAAACATCAAATTAAGGAAAACGTCCTAACATGATACTAGGAATCAAAATAACAATCTAAGCATGATTTCTATATCATAATATCAATTATACAATTAAAGTACTTACTTGGATGCCTCGTACCTCTTTCTAATAACAAAATACACGCGTTAGTAACTTCAAGGAAAATAATAATTAAAACAATTAAATTAAATAATTGAAATAGAGATTTGGGACGAAACCCTTAGAAATTAAAACCTTTCACGTCTAGGGAGAAGGCAACTTCGAATTATGCTTGGTGTTTCTAGTGCTTATGTATGAGGAATTGTGTTTGTAAAAGGGTTTGCTAGAAAGAGAGAGAACCAAGAATTTCTTGATAAGAGTTGGTGAGCATTAGAAAGAATAAGAATTGATGAGAATTGATGAATAAAAACGGAGTTTTTAGAAGACTATTTATAGAGAAAATCAGCCAAAAAGATAAAAAAAATCGAAACAGAGTTATGACGTGCAAAAACGACGCTAGTGCCAGACGCTGACATTAGCGCCATGCGCTAACGCTAGCACCAGGCGCCAAGCTTAGCGTCAGGCGCTAATGCTGGCGTTTGGTGCTGACTAAATTATTGACGTGTTTTCTAAAATAAGATAGAAATTGACCGTACAAGAGGATAAAAACATTATTTTATTCTGATTAAAACTCTAAAAAGTCATGAAAAGTCAATTTATCAATGCTAATTGAATTAGGAATGAAAAGAACCTTCTAGACTAAAACCATTCCTAATTGCATTAGGAATTAATAATCCATATTAGGCCCTCCTCTAGATTATTAGGCCGCATATAAGGCTCAAACCAAGCCCAGTTTAGTAATTTGGCCATATCTTCCTCAATATTCATCAGAATTGAGCTTATAATATATCGTTGGAAAGCTCTTTTCAAGACCTATCAAACTACATTACTATTGGACCCATATCATGGACCAACCAAACTGGATTGGCTATTTTCTTAAAATAGGTTTTCAAAAATAGAGCGAAGAGAAAAGAAATTAAAACTATCCGCAACACTAGACTTTCCACACTTTCACTTTATTTGATTACGATTTGATGTGAAAGGTACACATCATTGGGTTCGGTTTTGGGGAGACACAAATGGGTGTCTACAGAAGCCCCCACTTTTACTAAGTTTGGAGAAACGCAAGTTTCGAAAACGAAAGTGAAAGTAGCAATAGGGACGAAGAATGATTCAGAACGTTTAGTGATCCTAAATCATTCTTGTAACGCCGATACCTGCAAACTGGCATTAGTTAAACAGATAAAAGAGTTAAAAAATGCATATCTTATACCATCGAGCACACGTCTCTGAAGTAACCGATTTGTTGTTGTTGCATTGCTTTTGTTGTGATAACCTCCACAATCTTGGCGAATGCCGTCGAAGACTGCCCATCTCGTGCTATCTTCTCAAATCTTGGTGACAACCTCCACAATCTTAGCGAATTTCGTTGAAGACTGCCCATCTCGTGCTATCTTCT